AAAAAAACTTAATTGAATAACTTAACTAATTCTTTATTATATGTTAATCCATGTTATATTTATTGACCTTTGACATGGACTCAAGTACAATACAAATGAATTGGCCAAGGACAAGTCTCACTCATCACAATATCATAGGTTACAAAGATAAATACAGGTATTCTAAATAGGACCAATGTTCATGCTTTGTTTTTATGAGGCATTAGAGAAATTAGTTTGGTGAATTCGGGAGTAGGGTTTGCTAAAAAAAACTCAATTGTTATTTTTTTTTTAGCTTTTATTAGCAAGTTGAAGCATTTGAACTCTAAACTCAAACCAAATGAGATTATCCAAACTTGAAAGATGTATCATGATCTTAATGGTCAAAAATTATTTTCTTTCACTATAACTATCAGTCTCATATCATTGTGAGGGAATGAAAATTTTTGCATTTGAAAACTTTTAACTTCAGGACTTTCGACATCCGAAAAAAAAAAAAAAACCTCTATCTCAAAATTCTTTTTACTCACCTACATACAACTTGTATAAAATTCATCTATTTAAACTTTAACTACTAACCTACCAGGCACCATTCGCGTTTTGGTGGTACTACTTGCTTCTCATCTTCTACTTAATTGATTGATCATCATTTTCACAAATCAAAATACTAACTTTTTACATTTTAACTATTTTACTAACCAATGGTATGAGCAATTATCAAGAATCCTCCTATAGAATATCCTTGTCTTACAAAATTATGAATAATTTATTCTTACTTACAAAACTCATTTATTTAATATAAGAGATAGAATGATTGATTTTATTTTATTTTTTATAAGTTAATTACGTAAGAATATAATTATGATTTTTTATATGGTTATTTAATTTTTTTCTACTTTTCTCTGTCAAGGACCCCTAACTTTCTCTCTCCCACCCCGATTTTTTTTAGATAGAACAATTAAATATAGAAATCTCGTGATACCCCCTCTCTCCCCAAGTGGAGTCTTCTCACGACAAACCCCACCAAGGATCCATGACTGCAAGGTGGGATAAAACCTTTTAAGGGGGCCAATTATTTTGCACAAATGAAGAAACAAACTTTAAAAATAAAAGAATAGTCTTTGAATGGCACAAAGGGCCACAATCCAGACATAAAGCAAATGCTTAAAAGGAACACCAGTGCTGGTTTCTTTCAAAAGTCCCATCTTGCAACCTGGGCAATCCTCACCGTACCTGCTGTTCCTCAACAAGGATTCTCCAGTCCCATTCTCAGCAATTCCGACTCACCACATTTTTTCTTTTTTCTTTTTTTGGGGTGTTTGAAAAGTAGTTATTTCTTAAGAGAGAGCAAGCTTTCCTTTTATTTATGGGCATCAGAAAAAATTCCCTGGCTGAGCCACCTTTCTTGAACGTAACCGCTGGTATAGCCTACCGGTCAGTCAGTTCAGACACTTTTTCAAAAATGGGTTCTGTAGCTTGTCAGAATGAGAAATCATTTTTACTTTTCCTCTCTCTTGTTTTTCGTGTGGGAAAGGAATCACCATGGAAAGTAAATGAAGCAGTTTAGTTAGCAGTCAAGAAACATCCTAGAAATAGAAGTTGCATCAGAACACTTCCATGATTTCTTAGGTTTTTCTTACTTGTACAGATGTTCTTGGCTTAGATTGCAGGTTACTGCTGACGTGTAATTTCAAATTCTAAAATCATATTTCTTAAAAGATGAACGTTCATATCAAATTTTATCAAAAAGTATAATTTTTTTTCTAGTTTTATAACAAGAAATGGTCTGTCAGCATTTACATGTAGAAATCTAGAAGAAACAAATTAAAGGTCGAAATACCGTTACAAGTCTAAGTCTTTTTATTTATATTTTTTCATGGATTTTGTCTATATTTATATCTTATATTTTTTTAATTTTTTTAATTGAGATTTTCTATTTTTTTTATTGAGATATTTTGTTTTTAAGATTTCTTACTTCAAACTCTATGTTATAATTTCACAAATCATTTCACAAATCATTAATTGATCCGTGATATTATAAAGTAAAAAAATTCGAAAAGAAGTCGAATACAAATTGATGACGTTATAAAAAAAAAGTTTAAAATAAAAAATCTTGAAGAGTACATAGTCTTAAAAGAAAAAAAGTTTTGGTTAATTTTTTTAAAAAAATATTGAGTCTAAATATGGGAAAAACCTTTTTTCCGATTAGTGAATCTAGTAAAACAATTATATATAAATAGTGACTTTTCAATCAATTTTTTTCATTTTAATCATTAAAGTGTCTTTGGGCGATTTTCATGTATTTGAATCAAATTTTGAACCAATCATTTACTTGCATATTTACATCCAATTTTACACATTCACAAAAAGAAAATTCCAAAGCCTCAAATATTTTCATTTGTTTGAAAAACAGAAAAAGAGAAAAAAGGGAAAGAAGAAATCTGTTTATGAACTGAACAGAATGGGAACAAATGCTTTGGACAGGGAAATGTTGAATTCTATCCACAAGAGCTTTTAATTTTCAAAAACAAAGAATAAGACACATCCCATGCATTGTCAATTGCTGTCTCTCTCTCTTTCTCATTCTTGAAAGATTTGTTTTTTTTTTTTTTTTAATTATCAGAATTTTCTTAAATCAGTTTTCTTGCACATTTTTTGTTAGATTTTGGATTAAAAAAATTACATATAATCTGAGTATTCACAAAAAGTTTATTAAATTCAATCTTTTATTCTTTCTAGAAAAATGGCAAGTTGGTGAAAGAAAAAATATATGATACATGTTGGGTTGAAGCTTTTTGTAGTAAATTATAAATTACTCTCGCTATTTAAAAAAAATTAACTAGTCCCTTTGTTTTAAAAATTAATTATTTAGTCATTTCTATTCATTTTATGTTGTTTTCTAATTTTTTTATTAATATAAATAAATAAATATTAAGGAAAGATTCATGGAAAACAATTAAAATAAAATAATATTAAATTAGCATGGTTAAAGCTGATTAAAAAACTATATAATTAATTCTTTTTTGAAAAAGAGACTAATAATTCATTTTTAGAAAGTAGAGGGATTGATTTATAATTTACGCAAGCTTTTTTAGATTCAATGTTGGGCCCAAATCCTCTCCTGACCTTCAACTTTAATGGCCTTTTAGGCTTTAAGCCCAAATAATTCAATGATTAAGATTGAAAGCTTGGAAGTCATGCAATTAATGTGACCGAATTGTCTAGACTTTCTTATAAGCATGTAAAGGGATCGGATTGGATGGATTTTTTATTCGAATTTAATCCCAATATAATGTAATTAAATAAATTTAATAAATAGTTTTTTTTATTCGATTCAAATTATAATCTGAATTTTTTAATTTGTTTATTAAATTGATAAGATTCGAATTTATATTGATCAAATATGATAATGATCCGATCTGAAATTAAAAATAATATTTTAAAAAAATATTAAAATTTTAAATATGAAAAAGTATATAAATATGAATTATGATGACATTTAGAATTTATTTATTATGAAGTTTAAATAATGTATATCTTTCAACAACGTTGGCTGTATTTTTAAAAATCACATATATATTTCGTCTTTTTCTTAATTCAATTTCGTAAAAAAAATTATAAATTGATTTATATATTTTTTCAACAGTTGATGTTATTATATTTGTCATGAATCTAATTTTTTTACCCCTGAACAAGAAATAAAGATTATTTATTATTTTTTAAAAATTTTATCATATTTACTACCTAGTTCAAGACAATGTTTTATTAAGGTTATTTGATTTTGTACATTTAAATCATTTCGATTTTTTAAAAAAATCAATAAATAAAATATTATCTTAATATATTTTATTATATATGAAGTGGTTGAAATATATTTTATATCCGAGCTATATATGAAATGCAATAAGTATGAATTTTCTATAAAAATCAAGTGATAAATTTGATCGAGCTTCAAATTATATCAAAGCTCATTAGGCTCTAAATCCAATTTTACATTTTTAAAATCCGATCTAAAGTTGGACCTACTATAATTCGATTTGAGTCATGCTTGTTATTAGTCCTACTTTCTTACCACCAAATTATACAAATATTAAGTATCATTTGTTTTTCGAGAAAATTGAAAATTTCTTTTAAAGGGAAAATTTACAACAATAAGTGGAAGTTTATATTATAATTTTGATGGTTGAGAAGTTGATTCTATATTAATTAAATATTCTTAAAAGTTTAACGTGATTAGTAAATGAATGTATCTCTAAATTATTATTAAATATATTAAATTGTATCTTCAAAAAAAATCACAAGGAAATAATTATTTTGAAAATACATCAATACGGTTTGGATCGTCTATTAAATCCGATCAAAATACAATTTAACTCAGAATGATTGATTTTGTTTAATATAAGAGACAAAATGATTGATTTTTTTTTTTTTGATAAGTTAATTATGTAAGAATATCATTTAATTTTTTTTTCTCTACTTTTCCCTCTCAAGGACCCCCAACTGTCTCTGAATAAATTATAAATTAGTCCCTCTAGTTTCAAGAAATAAATTAAATAATTCCTCTCATTTCAAAAAATATTATTTAATATTTTAATTAGCATTAACATACTTAATTTAATATTATTTTTATTCTAAAAAATCTCTTATTTTTATTAATCTTTTTCTTATTTTTATATTTTTCTCCATTTTGGTTTTTTGAAATAAAAAAATTAAAATAAATTAAAAATGAGTAAAAATAACTAAATTACTAGTATATCTTAAAACATAAGGATTACATAATTATGTTTTTTTAAAAAATGGACTAGTTAATCTATGTCTCGAAATGAGAGGGACTAGTTTATAATTTACTGAACTTTCTCTTCGCCACCCCGATTTGTTTAGATGAACAATTAAATGTAGATAATCACAATTAAATTACCAAAAAATCCCTACCAAGCATATGAAATTACCAATGACAAAGGAACACATCACAGTCACAAGAAGCCCTTTCGTCTTCAAGAGGAGCCCAAGAACGAGAGATGATGTGGTTGAAGCAAACAGTTCAAAGTTTAAAGAGAACAGCAGCAATCTCAAAGGCTCAAGCAATCAAGAATTTGAGCACCCAAATCAAGAAAGAAAATGTCCCAACAGAGAAACTAGACTGTGTGGTGATAGGAGCAGGAGTGGTGGGGATAGCAATAGCTAGAGAGCTTGCTTCCAAAGGCAGAGAGGTTTTGGTCCTTGACTGCGCCACCACTTTTGGCACTGGCACCAGTTCTCGCAACAGTGAAGTCATTCATGCTGGCATCTACTACCCAAATAATTCTCTCAAGGTCCGTTCATCTCTTTGCTTGTGAACAAGCAAATTATAACTTAGTCCTTGTAATTTTAAGAAACTGATCATTGAGTCCCTTTTTCAGAAATACCATGTATTGAATTCCTATGTTTTCATATTTGTTTTACAACTCACGTGCTGAGCATGTATAATCTGCCAAATGGTTGTGTATCCGGTAGGCTATAGCTTCCTTCAACAAAATGGGGAGGTCTATTTCCTATAGTGTGGCTTAAAGTCCTTTCCTTTGAGCCTCCATGAACTAAAGTAAAGGAAAAAAAAAAAAAAAACTGAAATGTAATGATCTACCAAGATAAATTAGAGGGACTGGATATCATTGATGGTAGCTGAACTGATAATTCAACGCATTTTGCATGTGTCAGGATTTATGTGAGAGTGAAATGAATTTAGATTCTTTTATAGGCGACTAATGCTAAGTATAGTTGTTCTAATGGTTATGGACTATTGTATTTAAGGGAAATCAGAATGATATTTCCTTCGTTTCTTTGAGCAGGCTATATTTTGTGTGAGGGGAAGAGAACTTCTGTACAAATATTGCTATGAACATGGGGTGCCATATAAACAGACAGGGAAGCTAATAGTTGCAACTGGACCATTGGAGATTCCGAAGTTAAATGAGTTAATGCATCGTGGAACTCAAAATGGGGTTGATGGTTTGAAGATGTTAAAGGGTTTTGAAGCCATGAAAATGGAACCTGAATTGCAATGCAAGGAAGCATTACTATCACCTGTTTCAGGGATTGTTGATTCTCATTCACTAATGCTATCTTTAGTGGTCAGTGTACAATCTTTCTTTGTGACATTCTTAAATAGAATTATGGTTATATCTTATCTTCTTTTTGGGTTATGGTTGCATATTGACAGGGATATTGATGCAATTTGAGTCCAGGGAGAAGCTGAAAATAATGGAACAACCTTCTCTTATAACTCTACAGTCATTGGTGGCCATCTTGAAGGGAATTTTCTGCACCTCCATGTTTTAGAAAGCAAAGATCTAGAGAATTCGAAGGGAGAGGATCCATTGCATCCAGAGCTCATACTTGTTCCTAAGCTTGTAGTGAATTCTGCAGGATTAGCTTCCCTGGCCCTTGCGAAGAGATTTCATGGCCTAGATAATGGTATAATTCCTCCAGGGTACTTTGCTCGTGGTTGCTACTTCACCTTATCAAGTACAAAGGTTCCTCCTTTTGAACATTTGATATATCCTATACCTGAGGATGGTGGCCTTGGAGTGCATGTTACTCTGGATTTAGATGGCCAAGTCAAGTTTGGCCCGGATGTTGAATGGATCGATGGCACAGATGATATATCAAGCTTTCTAAATAAGTAATCTTTCTTTAGTCCATTATTCTTCATCTACATGATATATAGCCTTTTTCAATAGTTGAGCATCCTAGTTATTAACATTGCTTACTTAATTGCTTGTCTAATGCTTAGCATACTTAAGATTCTGCCTTTTGATTTCTTTTGCTGTAGCATTATATATGAATTCTAGACAATTGTGTTTGTTTCCAAATGCTTCACAAATTATCTTGTATTGATTTAATAGCTGGTATGAGGAGTGTTTCTCTCTAAAACCATATTCTTCCTTCACATAACACACGCAGACATACACAAACAAATACCAACGCTACACACATACATTACTTGGTTTGCACTGCAGAACTTTTCATTGGTTTATTTGTTTCCTTAAATCGTTCCCATTAGTTCTCCTAGGCATTTGAGCAAAAGATTTTTCTTTTGAACTAGAATTTCATTGTTTTGAAAGATGCATTTTAACTTTCAAGTGAAATGCTTCAATAATGAAAATGAACCTCATGCCAATGCTGCTGCAGATGAACAATAAGTATGTAGAAGGCTTTTTTCTTTATTTTTCTTTTGAATTTTGTTTCTGCTATGTACAAGAATTTAATTCTTCATTTGTTCGTTCCAGGTATGACTATTCTGTAAGTGCCAGTCGTGCAGAGAGATTCTACCCAGAGATAAGAAAGTACTATCCAAATCTGAAGGATGGATCACTGGAGCCAGGTTATGCAGGGATTCGACCAAAAATATCTGGTCCTCGACAGTCTCCGGTTGACTTTGTAATACAGGTCATATCTTGTTCTCTTCTAACTCTTGCAAATCATCACTTCCATGTAAGCGAGCAAGCCCAATGCTCTTGCATTTTTGCTTGAAGCTACTATTGGTAGAGTGAGGTTGGAGTAAATCTTAAATTAAAATCCTAAAAAAAAAAAAAACTAACCAACCTTATATGTGGGGTTTTATCTTTGGTTGCATAGCAGAGTAGTTTTGACTTCCACTACAGATTTTATGGTCTCGTCTAGCTGACTACTGTGATTATAACTCCTTAGAAGGTAACAGAACTTTAACTGTCTGTTTTCAGAAAAGAAAATCCCGTTTTAAAGTAGAATATTGAACTTAGCTTCACTTATTCGGCAAACAAGCTAACACCGATTTGATGGCCAAGTTCATGAGCAACATTTTTATTCTATAAATAAATCAGTCAAGTGATGCCACATCTTTGTCTCTTCCTCCTTTATATCTGTGACAGCATAAGAATTTCTCAGGCATCTTCTCTAATATCTCGTTAGTGTTTTGAGGGTAGAGTACATATTATATTGTGGACGATTATTTTCTTTTTCATTGACAATTCTAGCCTTCTTTCGAACTTATTCATGCAGGGAGAGGATATCCATGGGGTGCCTGGTCTTGTTAACCTCTTTGGAATTGAGTCACCTGGCCTAACTGCAAGTATGGCAATTGCAGAGCATGTAGCTGCCAGATTCTTAAAGTGACAACATTGTGTAAGTTGGGATTTGATTACAAAAATGTTTGCCATTCTTTGTATACGATGAAGGCTGAAGGCTTCAAGTTTGGTGATGATAGTTCAATACTTGAGATTCATGCTTTAACTTACTGGCTGTTGCTAGTTTAGTGGTTTTTTATTCGAATAAGGAGATTGCCATGTTTCTAACACCTGACTCTTAGAATCTATCAGCCTGTTATTGCATTGCTTGCTCATGTAACCTTGCATTTTTTGCCCCAATTTTAACATAGCGAGGGAGGAGTTCCCATAGTCTTCAAATAATTGACATGACAATTACATTCCACTCATTTATTCCTACGTTCATTCAACACAGTTCGCTCCCTAGCAATGGTTCTTTTTTTTTTTTTTTCATACAATTTATAAAAAAATTGACTAGGCTTTAATGGCTATAACAGATCACTGTTATCAGGACAAATATAGCGTTGCTACCTGAATGGGTAGTGGTTTCTTCATGGGAATGAGAGGCCGCTGAAAAAATTTCTTATAATACAACAATGGCATGTAGATACAAAAAACTCGATTGCCAAGATAAGTCATTGCATAACAAAAAATATGAAGTCAATGTCGGGCCATCGAAATGAAGTTACAGTTTTACTATCAAAATTGTAGGTACAACAGGTGTGTGAATGCCACCATTTCATTCCATCTTCCTAATTGGACTACCAGTTCTCCCAGCTGACATGGAGATTATACCGTCAGCTTGGTAGTTGATCCAGCATCAGGAACTTCAGCTCATTCACAACATCATCAACTCCTGAAATATTCAAATGCACCAAGCTTAATGGAAGTAAATAAACAGATTTGACAGAGGCTACAGCTCAACACACACCTTTCACCGCTTTCGTTCTGAACGCCACTTGAATACTGGTTTGGTACTTGGACAGACAATCTCATCTTCACGCAGTTTGCGCTTTTGTCCCTTTTTCTGGTCATTAAATCAATGATTCATTTTCGAAATTTATATGAATAACATACTATAGTCAAGTAAAAGGAAGAACTACATACCTGTAATTCCTTCTGCAATGCCATATCCATATATATTTTCTCCAACTGATTTGCTCGGGACTTCCGGGCCTCAAGCTCTCTGTAGGAACTGGCAATTTTCCTGCCCATGGAACAATGAAACCGATTATTGGGAGTTGAGACAGTCAAAAAAACATAGCTGGCCTATACAAGAGTACAAAAACATATAGACTATAAAAAGGTTCCATACATTAATCATAGAATAATCATCTAACCACAAAGTTTCATGGGGAGGCTGGTGTGATAGATGAACTACTCCATAAGCTTATGACAAAGAACAACATGACAGGAAAAATAATCTCTCTAGAAAATGGCACCTTCTGGTATCAGATATTAGAAGGACAAGTGTTTGAATAATCTTATATTTCTTAAACCTCCAAAGTCCTAGCTGCTTTTCAAGGAAAGTTTAGCATCTGAAAGTTTCCAGCAGCAAAACGTGGTTCAACAAAGAAAGCTCGAGGCCTTTATGGTGAGAGCGGTCATACAGCTCAAATCACCTCCAGGGACATCAGATGTTTGCACATGCCTCACATGCTTGACCCCAATCAGAGGACTGTAGGGTCGAAGGAAAACGTACTTGCATGTACCAAGGAGAAATACAGCCAAAAACAGGCCAGACCAAGGAAGAGCTTCTGTGCTCCAAACAGTTGGCTAACATGGCAAATTAAAGTAAGAAATTCAAGAAACTATTCTGCTAAACTACTATATTTTACAAAACCAACAAATTTCAACTCTTGGAAGATTCCAACTAGATCAGATGATGAAGTGTATTAGTATTTCAGCAGATATTTAGGATTGTGGATCAGAAATAAGTACAAATTTTTAAATAAATGATGTCATGATTCTATCGAAAGAGGCATGGACCCTCTCAACCTCTTAAAATGGTCAATCAAGTTCAACAAGAGAAAAATAAACCCAAGAATAATTTGTCTCACAAAACACAAGTCATATAGTACCTTTTGATATTATCAGGGACGTCCACAGAAGTAGTTGCCATATTATTTTCTGAAGATCGTGACCTTATTTCTTTAGCCTCCTCCCTGCAAGATATGCAGCAAGAAGAGATGAGGATCCATATCAACTTACGAATCAAAAAAAAGAAGAAAACTAGATCAAGGATTTAGGATGAGGAAAGAAGACATGTTAATTCCAAAGCAAGTTTGCATGTCACCCTCGGGCTCTAGCTCAGGTTGTCAAGCAAAGTGAAAGGCTAAATTTTATCACAGTGAGAATAATAGGCTCAATTCTATCGCCAGGTTCCTCTTGCTTATATCACAAATACATAATAGAAGAGCATTGATTTGGTGGACTACAAACAATGGGAAGTCATAACCAAGCCAATTGTCACTTCCTGCACTGCAAAAATTTACACGTGGAAATATATAATCCCTTTAACTTCACAACATAAATGCCTAGCGTAATGGTCTTCATCAATTTTCTATGGCAATAAACATCAGCAGCATATACAATTTCTTAGAGACGATAAGAGACCAGGAAGTTCACACCTATCTTCAGCATAATAAATATGCTTGTTCGATGGTCTGCTATCCAGCGAGTGCAACGTGGCAGTTAGCTTTTCAATTTTCTGCAGCAAACAATAGCATTTAAAATGATCATTGCATGAAAGAGTAACAAATATGTTAAGTAACCAGAAACAGAAAGTAAAACTATGACTGAATCATTCACCTTTTTCTCACTTTGTGCTTTTTGAAGGATATATCCAATATCTTGCGTCTTCATCAACATGAGTTCTTCTTGGGTATATTTGTTGGCTTCAATCCTACCAAAAAAGGGGAAAAAAAATTACAAATCTTCATAAACTAAAACGCAAGAAATGTAAACAAGTAAGAATGAAGGATTTTTACTGTGGCCGATGAACTCCATCAACTGTTCTGCTCTTAATCATTCCGAAGTAAAACTCATCAGGATTTCTCGATGCTGCTTTCTCTTTAAGCCTCTGTAAAGAAACATTGCCACAGCCACAGTCATGAATTTAGCAACAGAAACCATAAGATTACAAAAGAACAAACCTAACAAATCAGAATATACGATTTTAAATTAATTCTAACCCTTAAAGTTTCCTCTTTTTTGTGAAAAGCTTTAGCACGGTTAACATAGTCTTTATGCTTCTCAAGCAGTCCAAATTTCTTCCTCGCTTGCCTGGAATCGAAAATTCAAATCAATAAATCAAAAACATATCACCACAAATACAAAAATCTAACATCTGGAAAAGGAAACATGACTCACGGTTGTGCTCTCTCCTTGTGAGCCTTTCTAGGAATAGCATTCCTTAAGGATGACATTTTGTTTCTGTTCTTCCTGTTTAAGAAAAAAAAATTAAAATTAAATACAAGGATTGGTCATTGCAAATTCACATACCTATCAGCGTAACAAAGCAAGCTTAAAATTTATATAAAAAACACAAAAAAATTCAGACATTCAGAGTCAAGAACATTGAATATTCAGCAAAATATAAATTCCCATATCAAAAGATTGAAACTTTGAATCAAGGAAAATAAACGATACCTGAAACTTTCAGTGCTAAAATCTCCTTTGCTTTGAACAAACCCTAGCTAAAACCAAACCTACTTTCCAGAAACGGTTATAGTTAAAACAGATTCAGTCTTTTTTGTTCTTATTGATTTGTTTGTTAATCAAAGCAAAATCTGAAGTGACTGTGCGCACAGACAGAAGCTAGGAGTTAAGATGGCAAAGAGAGACAAGGGTTTTCGACCAAAACGACACTGACAAGGGAAAAATTCAACTTAAACGACAGTGAGTAACCCGTCCGCCTTATAGGTTTTGGGCCTGTTTTAAGGGCTTGTATGTTAATGTTTCAGGTTTGGTTTAGGTCTGTATGTTTCTTATTCCTAGCTAGAATGAACCAGATTAATGGGTAATCTTGACTGGGCGTTCGGAATGACAAAACAGGGATAAGCTACCCGTGAAATATTATCATTAAAAATGTATCCAAATAAAAAGTTGAGCTAATTACATTTTTAGGATACAAAGTTTATAATTTTTTTATTTGAGTGTATCAACTTAATTTTTTACTATTTGAATATATCAAGTTGCAATTTTTTTTTATTTGACTGGTTCCATTATCTTTCATTAGTTTTATTATGATGTGATCATTAGCTATACACATGTCACCAAATTATAGGGCCCATTATTAGACACATGACAGCTAGAAAAAAAAAAGAATTTATTACATATTTGATATGCAAACTTATCCATTTTTTATATTTGAGTATATAAACTTTAATCTTTACTATTTGAATATATCAATTTTAATTTTTTTCTATTTGAGCGGTTATGTAATTTCAAACTAATGTGTCTATTAACTCGCATCCGTGACAATGTTATGTGGATTTATTGTCAAACACATGGCGACTAAAAAAAATAAAAACTAATGATTCATTCTCATTCTTAAGTAACGAGTAAAAATAGCAAATAAATTACATAACAACATTTAGATATTATGACTTTACATGAAAATATTTTTTAAAAAAATAAATAAATTACTTAAAAATAACTAGATACGAGGAAAAGATTGAAAATTAAAAACAAAATCTTGGTTGGATTCATTTATCAAGGCAACGATCCATTCTTATTCTCGGTAGAAAAGCTAGAATTTAAAAACCAAATCCCACGACAAAATTTTCCATCTCCAAGTTTATCTAAACATCAAATTAAATACTGGATTTTTTGCATAATGTAGATTTGGCCATTTTATAATTTGAAATCAATTGAGTTGATGATGAGGAGCTCTATGAAAGATAGAACTTGTCCGCTTTAAAGATCTCGCTTTCACATCCGTCCACTTCTTATTTTGTCCAATGTTGATTTCTTTTCTATAGGTTATATCGGATACCTCGATACATTACAAAATCGAGAACACTCATACCAAATTGTAAATTCATATAATAATTAATTATTATTGTCATTGGTAGAATCAAAAGTTGAAACCCTATTTCTTATCTTTCCAACACATTATGTTTTGCATCAATTAGAGATCCACGGCTTTAATTATAGGCTAAAAACTATCACTAACTCAACTTTTTCGCCAGACCTTAGGATTCCAACTTTACAGACTCAATTATTTTGGACTCAAACCCTTCACAAGAATTATAAGCATGCCTCTTAAGTATTCCAAAGGCTTAGGCTTGCATTAATTGGAATTTTGAAACTTTGATTTGGACTCCAAATAAAATTTGGATTGGCTTTCTAGTCCGAATATGAAATATGGTTTTGCTAAATGTGGTGTCTTTGGTTGAATAATATGGCTGGTAGGTTTGACGATATTCAATCTTGTCATGTCACGTGGAATGTATTTAGGAATGTCTTAATGCCATATGATTCATGAACATGCTTGATATCGTATTTTAATTGCATTCATACCATGAAATGTTTGATGTCGTGATTTTAAGTATTCAAGGATGCATTCAAGTCATAAAAATGTTTAAGCATGATTTCAAGTATTCTAAGAAATGTCACATTCATGTTTTCAAGACAATCTTGCAAAGGAAATGATCTGGTGTATACTCTTTGTAAGGTGTACAAAGTAAATGATATGGTGGATACTTTTTATATGTTTTAAAGATATATATATATATATATATATAAACAAAACCTTGAAATACTTGAGGACATGTAAATGTGTTGAGGATTCTGGTCGTGAGCTACGAGTTTGCCAAATCATGTACTACGGATTTAGCTTTAAAGTTTTGAGGTTAACCATTGCTAGGTTTTAGTCACTTTCGGTAGTTGCCTAGATTTGGCCATTTTGAGTTGTAAATGATAAACTTTCAGTCATTTTTGATATGTTTATAGATATATTAATGAGATTAAAGGATAACAAAATATTTATGTTTATTTTGGACTTGTTGACGAATTTATCTATTTAAAGATGTATCGATGCAATTATGGAAAGAATATTAAGTTAGTTTAACATATGAATGCTTTTAGGTTGCAAAAAATATATTAGTCATAAATGTTAAATTTTAGGAAACCTTGAACTTTAAACCGAATAAGAAAATTCTGCTATACAATATGATAAAGATCTAAGATATGTAGAAGACATAGTGCATTGCCTTATAATCTCAAATGTGAGATAGTGCGGTAGCACTCTCGGCTTCTTGTTGGATCGTCGACATTAAAGGCTTACTTTAAGCTTGGCTTGGGCTAGGTGACGAGAAAAGATGCATAGGTAACCCGATACTTGGGCTAGGGTTTAGCTTTGCCCAATCGGCCATCCTAGTGGGCTTGACCCATTGGGCCCAAATGGCCCAACAACCCTTATTTATAGCCTTTTCCTAAGTAAATCAATTGTGATTTTTTTTCTTAAATACATGCTTTTTATTTCATGCCTAGTTTAGGTTTAATATTTTTGAATTGTTGAGTTTTATTTATTTACTTAGTCAAAATGTTTAATTGTTTCAATTTTTATTTCAATAATTAGATTAAATAATTAATAGATGGATGAAGCATCGAGTCTCATAATTTTTATGGACTATTTTTTTCTGTTTTTTTTTTTTTTGTTTTTTGTTTTTTTTTGGTCAAGAATTAAAAGAAAATGATAAGGGTAAAAATCAAGTATTAACAGGTGCAAATCAAAAACAAATATATTTCTTTATTTATTAAGAAAAAATATATTAGTGATCTTAAGTTAGAGTAATTAAGAATATTCGATTATAGAATATTAGGATCATATAAATGGATGATAGAATCATCGTTAAAAGGTTTGTACAATCTGTACATGTAGACTTGAAAGGCTAAGCAGCTTCAAAGGAAGAAAAGATTGATTAGATAGACTTAATCAACTATATCATCTATAGACTTAGATTAATAAAAACAACACACATAAATAAAATCATATGAAATGTATAAATCATCATGTGAGAACCACTATTTTTGGTCTACTTATCTTATTTTTATTGATTTAATCTAGGAATAATATGTTACACTAAATCTGTCCAACAATTTCTCCTCTAAAAGGCTTTACAACAACATGAGATTGTTTGGTTTTTGTGAATTAACATTTATACTAATAAGTCTTCTAGCTATACTATATATAATTTGACGTTAGAACATCATTGTAAACATGTATTTTCTTGTTTCTTGACTTTGATTAATGAAGTTTTTATTTAAAACTAATAACAAATATAGTAATAATAATAAAATATTTGAAATATTAATTAATTGTGTTTCTTCATTTCGCTAAAAGGAGTCTTACTAGCTTTTTCATATAGATTAATAAAAGACAGTAAATATAGAGCCACATTACTTATTTTTACTTATTTTGTAGAAAAATAAATTAGTCTTGTGCTAGTTTGATTTTTTTTTTTCTTTTATCTTCTTTTTTTAGTTTCCTTTTTCAAGGTTTTTAATTTATTCTAAGTTCTCCAAAACTCAAGATATAAGCTAATTTAATTGGTGATTATTTAAGTAAAGGCAAACTGATTATTTCTAATTAAATTGATCATTCTCTAATTAATTCGGATTTCAAAGGAAAATAGTAGGAATTAAGGTGCTGTTTGATAATCGGGAATAAAGTGGTAGAGAATAGGAATGAAAATTTTACTCTCACGTTGTAATTGTTTAGTTAAAAGGAATGAAGAGTAGGAATGAGAATGAAAATTTATACACAACTTCATTCTCATATAAGATGTGAGAATAAAAATAAGAAATGAAAATGAATTTTTTTTTAAATAATAATATATTTTATTTATTATTGTCTATTAACTATTTTTACCACCGCCACTACCACCATCATCATAACCATCGCCACCATTACCCCCCACCACCACTAAAACAACCATTGTCATAACCACCATCATCACTATCACCTTTATTATTTTTACAACGATTATGAGTTTGATAATATTATTTTTTAATTATTATTTTTATTTAGATAAAAAATAAGATATTAAAAAATTTAAATTACATTCCGATTTCTCATTAGTATTCCAAACACAGTATGGAAATACAAATGTCAATTATGATTCCTTCATTTTCATTTCGATTCTCGCATTTATATTCTTACCATTTTATTCATGATTACCAAATAACATCTAAGTATAATAAATTTAAACTAAGTTTGATTATTTCATTTTAATATATAATTATATTTAATCCAAATTTTATGAATTTAATTAAAGAAAATTAAAGAGGCAAATTACTATATTTCAAACCATAATATTTAATTAAAGTATTTAAATTGAATTTTTCTAATATAAGTTTCTAGCCATGTTTTGGGATTAAATAAATCTACACATTTTATGAAAAGGTATTTTTATAGAAAGAGTTTGCTTTGAAAAAATTTATACCTAATTTTAAATAAAGTGTGGACTTAATTAATTTTATTTATTAGGCTTCTGCTACAAATAATAGCTAACTAAACAAGAAAAGGAGACAAGACTTGATATTTTGCATTCAATGTACTAGAAATATGAGACATCGTTGATAATATTCTCAACCTATTTAGATCCTAGATCGTGAGTATTATACTCATCACAAGGAAGTCAGGATGCAAAATATTTGCTAAATAATATGCTCATAAACTCATTAATGAGCCGTGATGTCCACATTTGATTGTATTAGCTCACTTGGTAAGGAAATTATTTTCTTGTAAATGCTTTAGTTTGGGTGTAAATTAAAAGCCGATTAAGGATGGGATTAATTTAAGATCACAAAACTTAGTTCAAAAATAATTTTAAACTTAAGACAAATAATAATAATAATAATAAGATAATTTTAAATTTCAAACTTTTTCTTAAATCACATCACACATTCGATGGCCAATGATTTATGATAGTTAATAATCTTTATATTAAAATATGTTTCCACATTGTCACATTATTATAATATTTAACTATGTCAAAGAGATGTATAAGACTATTCTTTAAATAAATAAATAAAGACTTTTCTCAAGGGTTTTCTCTCTCTCTTTCATATAGATTATCTTTTTCTCATATTAACGAGTGGTCGTGAAAAAAAAAATTATCTCTTTTTTTTTTTTTTTTTTCAATAATCTCAAATCTAGTAGTATAGATTTGATGTATTTTAGTTCTATTCAATTGGATTTATTTATTATTATTTTTTGTGTAGACTTGTGGTGGCGCAGCCGACATTTTTTTTTCTTTTTTCCAAGATTGTGTGTGATTAATGTCCAAATCTTGTGATTAGAAAAAAAAAAAAATCTATCGAAAGGTTTTAAGGCAGCAGAGCTATTAGTAAATTGTAAGATTAAAAATACAATCCTAATAGTCTTTTCTTTTTGTAATATAGTTTTTGACAGTGAGAAGCTTGCTTTTCTTTAGATATGGCATTTGTATTTCATTTTTTTATATGTTTTTGAATATCCGTAAATGACATCAAAATCCTTATCATCCCTTATTCGTAGAAAAAACCATCTTAGATTTTCTTCAATTGATCATGACGTAAAAAACACGCACGCGCACGCGCACGCGCACACGTATATATGATGTAAAAAAAATATGATCACCAATAATTAATGCATTAAGAAGTGACATAAGAACACCTGTTAACCTGACCCATTAATTAATTAATGAATTTCAAAGAATAATTGAACCCTATCTTGTCGGAATAAATTAAAGATAGTATTTAAGAAATAGCTGATTCCATTTCCTTTTCCTTTAATCATTTCTCTTGGGCACCTTTTCTTATTTTTCTATTTTCTCTTTCTTTTTGTTTGCTTTTTTTTTTCTTTTCTTTTTTTGTATCAGAATGAGAGACAATTTAAAGGAACCAAATATAAATAATAAATAGTAAAGAATGCAAAAGGCATTACTCTGTGCAGAAGCATTTTGGTTACGTCCCAAAAGAAGTCTTCCTCTTTAGTCCCAATCCAATAGCTTATCAGTCCCAAGTTCCCTACCTTCACGTATTGGGATGATTTCATACCTTCGATCATTACGAAAAGAACAAAGCATTATATTGTCAGTTGTTGAGCATCTCTCTTTTCATTTAACAATGTTGTGAATATATATGAAGCTGCCTTGTCTCTTTTATTTATTTACAGAGCAGAGGTACAGTTATGTCCAAACCAATGGGTTCAGGCATACTCATTAGTAGACTTCTTCTCCTTAACTTTCTTCTTCTCTGGCAACTTCGCACTGGGGCTACTTCCAGTTATGGCACTAAAGCTGCTGCTAATAATGGTGGTACCACTACAGTTGGTAACATTACAGCAGATGAAGGTACAAATTAATCGATCTCTTATTTTTTCAAAGATGTTTGGATATATGTTTGTATTTATTTTTTCAAACTTTAATTACTAATTGATTTAGGATAGCGTTGAAGCATGGAGATAGAAAATTACAAAATTTCTTAGAAATAAATTGACTAAGAAAAGTATATATATATATATATATATATATATATATAGCATTAGAGAGCAGTGCAAATCTATATGAAAGACTCTTTGACCAAGCAGTGAGGAATTTCAACCATAATAGACAGATTTGTTTGAGAACAATATAAAATTATATTCCAAAATATCATCTTAATTTTGGATTGAATTAATTCTTTTGGATAAATTACATGTGTGGTTCTCGAAGTTTCCACTTTCGATCATTTTAATCCATCTATGTATTTATATTGTAAAGTTGATTGAGCATTTTTATATTAAACATAGTCCTGGGATTTAATCAAAAGAACTTTTTGTGTTGAAACCTTTGGCAGTGGACGCTCTTGAACTTCTCATCAATACTTTACAATCCGGATGCACAAAGGCGGTCACGTTGAATTTTAGTTGTTCAAACGGCAAGAACGCCTGGGACGCCCCGATCAATTGTTTCTGTGATAACAAAAATGAAGCTTGTTCCGTCACTGAAATGTATACATGCTCAAAACAACAGAAAAAGGAGGAAAAAAAAAAAACTTAAGGGCAAGTTTGCATGAAATTACCTGTTCAAAAATAATCCTCACTTTGTAAATCACTTCAATTTCTGTGACAGAAACTTCGCAGGCATGAAGTTGGATGGATATATTCCCTACAGTTTAACTACAGTGCATGGTGAATTTAAAAACTTGAAAGTACTGTAAGTATCATCACTACTTCTCATTCCATAAAGCTGTATATATATATACACACACACACACTACTGTATCGATCCTGGGCTATGCTTGTTGAAAAATTGATGAAATTGAGGTTCTATGAAATTGCCACAACAGTGATCTATCCAACAATCAGCTTTCTGGTGGGATTCCTGACTGGCTGGGAGATCTACAGAGTCTCGAAAGATTGTATGTTAAAGCAATGATTCGTACGTGGTTCTATGTACGTAAATGATGGCATGGGCTCTGCTTCTTTCTAATGGTGCAATGGCTTTGTGTAAAAATCAGGGACATCTCAAGCAATGCGCTGACCGACTCATACCTTCTGAACTGACAACTTTGCAGAGTCTGAAAGAGCTGTAAGTCTGGCATTATTGCTTCCAATGGGTTTAGCCCTTATCTTTTTCGCACATAAATAAATAAAACCTGCATTTCTAATGTTACAATGGGCTTGTGCAAAAATCAGGGACCTTTCATTCGATATGGTGACCGGTTCTATACCTGCTAATCTGACAAAGATGCGCAGTTTGGAAGTTCTGTCTTAAAAAGACACTTACTACTTCAGAAAGACAAAAAAAAAAATATTTTAAGATACTTGCTCTTTATTGTATTGTATTGTGCTTATTTTTTTCAAATTACATAGATTAACTAAATAAATTATAAACTATTAAATTGTTAGATTGAGATTATTTAACAACAAGTGGCCGGGTTCTACATTGATGTTAATGGCGAAATATTATCCCAAAAATACCTAATAGCCCCCTTTCTCTTTTTTGTAATCTAAAAAGTTTTTTATTTGACTGTTTTATTATTTAAATCTGTTTAAGAAAATGATTCAATCCATTGAAATTAATTGAAAGTGGTTTTCTTTTTGTGATTTCATGCACCCGAAAAGATATCTTCAACAGAACAATCTTGAAGGTGTCATCCCTTAGAACCTGACGGGTTTACAATCGCTTCAATATTTGTAAGTCAATCCTATGTATTCTATCTATAGTTTAATATATATCTAATCTTGGCTATATAAATACATTTTTCTTATGATATATGTGTTAAAAATCAGGGATCTTTCAGAAAACAAATTGAGTGGACTCATACCAGACAGCATAGGTGATTGTAAGGAATTAGTTTCCATGTAAGTCTTTCTCCTTACAGCATGAGATGACGTTTAAAAATATTAAGAAATATAGTCTTTCTCATTATGATAATACCATTTGTACTCAAACAAATCAATTTTATCGATAATATCTGAGAGGACAGCTATAAAATAAATGAATTTACAAAGGAAGTAATAAAAACAAATGTTAAGATTAGTTTACATATATCATTCAAACATGCATGATTGCACTTACAGTTATATATCATTTAATTTGCAGGGATCTTGATAATAACTCGTTGTCAGGCTATATTCCTCCCAAACTAGGAAAACTCTCTGCGCTCGATTATTTGTATGATAAAATACACTCACCATTTCTTTTGGTTTCTCTTTCAAGTGTATTATAAATTATCTACTTATTTGTATGTTTCTCTTTGGAACAAGGAATCTGGCTGACAATAATCTTGAGGGGAACCTTCCAAACGAGCTTGGGAATTTGGTCAATCTTACTTCCCTGTAAGGTTCTTTCTTTTTTATTTTTAATTATATATATATGGGGAAAATTTACGTACTACGTACAGCTAACACTCTTAATTTACTACAGCTATTTGGCATCAAACAAGTTTAAGGGAAGTATTCCTGACACGTATGCCAAACTTATCAATCTAGAAACCTTGTTAGTTTCTTCTTTAATATTGCTTTTTCCTCTAACACTTGATTAATTTCGTCTTTAATTCGATGGTGTGTTATCATTAAGGGAAGTTTTTGGGTCAATGCAGTGATTATTTTGGAAATTGGATCAACCTCACTGAACTGTAAGTCTTCTTTGATATATATTCTGAAAATGATAGTCAAGTTTAGCAAATTAAACAATTCGATTTAGCTGACCTTCTCGTTGTGTACTTGTCAGGACTCTTATAGGGAATAATTTTGAGGGAAATCTGCCTGCAGAAACGTTTACTCTTCGAAACTTGTATAAATTGTATGTGCTGTACTCTTGTGACACCTGCATTTTATTTTGTTTTCTCGGTAAAGAATTCTAAAATGTTGTTCAATGACTCCAGGTTGGTCAGTTATGTAAGCAATCCTGGAATATCTTTCCCACGAAAAAAAGTAACATCGAAAAGCTTGATTTATGTGTGAGTGTTTTTGTAGTGCTGCTGGTTCTCTTTCATAGAAGCTAAATTTTGACCTTGGCAACTATATATATATTATCATTTCTCTAACCCCAGGAGAATATTCTATAAGTTAAGTCTAGATATTTTCACTAGCAGATCTTAGCTGTTTCAAATACTAAGACGGATAGGGTGGCATTTTGGAAGGGGAGGGCTACTGATTCCTTTTATATAGCTCAAGCCCGATTGAGCGTATTGATATATATATATATATATATATATATATATATATATATTATCACAATTGATGCTAGCTTGACATGAGCAAATTCAAATTGTTAATCTACAAATATGGATTCGCTTGCTTCTTCCATTGTTTGTACAGGGTTCTGAGGAATTGCAAAATTAATGGTTCAATGCCCGAATACATTGGCAACTGGACTCAGTTAAAATATCTGTACGTTTACCTTTTTCTGAATACCCAGTAATTGTTCCAATTAATAAGTCTCTGTTGCATCGAACTTCAATATGAAATTCTATATAATGTTATCCATGTTGGTTCAGTCTATTGAACCAAGATTTGATGTGTTTTGCTTTGCATGTCTTGTAGTGACTTGAGCTTCAACAACTTAACCGGTGACTTGCCGGAATCATTTCAGAACCTGACTAAGTTGTATGTGTTTAATTTGTTTCCTTAAAACATGAGACGTATTTTTTTCTTTTTTATGATAATGTACAGCTGGTAAACCATTGTTGCTGATGGGTTGGTGTTTCCTGCTTAGATTTCTAGCAAACAACATGTTTACTAAGCTTCCTTCCTGGATCATTAACAATTCAAATCGATCTTCCCTTCCTAAAACGTAAGCTTATTATTTTATGGTCTTAAGAGTATTATGTGATATATAAAAAGATTATTCAAAACTTAAAAAAAAAAATCTTTTTTTTCTAGGAACTCAATATACATAAAAATTAGAGGAGGAATATGCTAAAATATTAACATTGTATTAAAGATTAAAAATAAAATATTTTTAAAGATATATATATATATATATATATTCAGAGTGCAGTGTAAACGTATTTTTTTGTACAATTGTAATTTCTTTTTTGCCTCAACATTGTCGTTATTTGTGGACTGAAATATACAAGTATTTTAGGAAGTAATTTAAATTATGTAAGCTTCATTTTTTTTTTTAAGAAAAAAAATTATCTTTCAGGGATCTTTCGTACAATAACTTCAACGTGCCATGTGAAAATTGGGATCGGATTACGTAAACATGTAAGGAGACATATCAAATTCCTATCCATTTGGCATTTTTTTGACAATTTTATATATTTTTTTAAACTACTTATCATAGTTTCTCACTGATATTTTTTGTCTGATTTCACGATCTTGGTGTTTTTCCAGTCACCCGACTAGGTATCTGGTATATTCATTTTCTCATGTTCTGCAATAACAGTAACTCTCTAAGTATTTCTAACAAATTTCTGTGTTAATTTCTCAGCTATTTCATAGATAATATGCGGAAGGAAAAATGTCATCGGAAGCGTATGTTCTTTCTTTTGTATGCTTACTGAAGTTGTCTAGCTTAGAGTAAATATATATGAAATTGGAATTTCTTATCCAACTTTATTTTTTGACACAGATAAACCCCTCCAATCCATAGTCATCATTTCGACAGTCAAGGAGTTAACACTAGTTCGTAGTTAATTAGTAATGGTTAGCAGAATAAGGAAGTTGTATTATCATAATAGATACTAGATTAGTCACCAACAGCAAAAGTTTAGATATTATTCTGGTTTTCTCTTATAAATTCATTGTTTAAGCTCAAACTCTCTAACGAGAGGGCTTGACCTGAATCGTATGGCATCCTTGCAAGTGGAAGGAAGTAGATTAGTATGAAGAGAACTATTTCTACTGAGCTAACATCTTCTTTATATTGGTAGAGTTTGTTATGGGGAAGAACCATATTTCCACTAAAATAAGTTTTCTTGCAGATAATTCCTTGTTTATAAATAGTGGTGGCGGAGGCGTAATCATAGGAAAGCATCATTATCATAACGATACCTCAACAACAAGTTTTAACCTAAGTCCATCTGAAGATTGGGCTTATAGCTCTTCTGGATACTACTTTTGGGCCAGAAGCTTTTCTCAAGAGGGATCATTGGCCAGTTCCATGGACGAAAATTCTTTCTATGAGAGCACTAGTTTCTATGGCAGTACTTTAGTAAGAAACTCGACGTGTGAAGTTTCTAGTCCTGAGGCAAAATTAGAAAACAATTTCCGTCTTGCTCCTGTTTCTCTAACTTATTATGGGCTCTGCTTGCGTAGAGGCAAGTACCATGTGACGCTTCATTTTGCAGAAGACAGCAGAGTAGGGAAACGCGTGTTTGATGTATATATTCAGGTAAGTATTTCACTTTTCCGAGTGCTAATTTATGTACCAATGTCACATCCTTAAGGAACTCTCGATTGCAGAAAAAAATTGGTGAAGAAAAACCTAAACATAGAGGAAATCTCAGGACCAAAAAATGAAGCAAGCAAGCAAAATTTCTCCACTAGGGTACAGGATGGTTCATTGGAGATCCATTTCTTCTGGACTGGCAAAGGATCTCTCAATCCACTTCTTATGAATGGACCTGTCATTTCAGCCATTTCAGTCACCCGTGGTAGGAAGCAACACTTTTCCTTTTCTGATAAATCTGTTACGCGATCGAGAATAATTTATTGCTTGCTGTTTACAAGCTGTTGTTTTCTGTTTCCAAGTTCCCAGAAAACTACATCCTTGGGAAATCGCGGTAATTACAGTAAGCTGTATTTTGTTTCTGCTGCTGTTGTTGGCCTTTATGTGGATAATGGGCTGGATAGGAGACAGAGAATTACGCGGTAAACACTGAGCAAACTAAGAAAATCTATGAGCATATAATTCTTATCTATCGAAATAATTCTTCAAATAATTGTGGTGTGTGTAACTAAATTAATTCATCTGTTATTGGAATAGAAACAAAAGTGAAGATCGAAGAAAGAACTTTCACCATTAAACAGATCATCGATGCAACTAAAAAATTTAGCCCCACGAGGGAGCTTGGTAGGGGGCGTTCTGGGATAGTGTACAAGGTTAAACTCTTCTCTTATTTATTCAATAATGTCTTTTGAAGGATTAATTTTTTATCTTCTTTGATTTTTCTTCATTTTTACTTTCCATGAATGCAGGCTGAACTGCCAATTTATGCGATGAAATAGCAAGCGAAATTTATGCAAAAAAGGCATTGGACTTGAAACATGAGAACCTTGTTAAATTGCTTGCTACCTATTCCAGAAGGAACCTGCATTTGCTAATCTACGAATATTTGGAACTTGGCTCAGTTGGAAAAGTTTTATTCGGTAATTTCCTTTATCTCTCACTCTCAATCCCAATTTTGCATTTACAAATTTGGCTAACCATTTAGTATGGCTAGGGTTTATTTGATATGTTTCATTTTATTACAGAATTTTATTAAACCATATTCTTATGCCTTATTGTTTCGCTTAACAATGTAAACTTTTCAATTGAAAAAGTTGTTTTTTTTTTTTTTTTCCAACTTGAACATAAGAGGATATTGACTCGGGGATCTGCAGATACAAATTCTACAGTGCAACTTGATTGGCCTCAAAGATTTACTATCTGCCGGGGTATAGCGAAGGGTTTGAAGTATCTACATGAAAGGAATCCACAAATAATTCACAGAAACCTGAAAGTCAATAATATCCTACTTGATGCAAGTTGTAATCCCAAAGTATCTGACTTTGGGTTGGCAAAGCTTTACGAGGAGGAAAATCCATATATTGGGATTGACGCTGGAACAGATCTGTAAGCAAAAAATCATGTTACCATTTTCTTTCTTCTAAGAAATTTAGTACTGAAAACAGATAATTAAAATGCTAATCATAATAATAATGCACCTTTCATGTTCACAATTGATACCAAGTCTCGAGAAATTATTAACTATGTCAGGAGTTGTACTTCTTCCTCTCACGTAAACATATATACACCTCACCATGAAAATTATTCATTGGTCTCATCTTTATGTTAAAAGAAAGGAACACAATTTCGGGTATATTTAGAGATATAAACATAAGGATGTTTGGACAAAACTGTGTTCCCTGTTAAATCAATTATTTTGTTGCTATTGCAGTTTGTACATGGCACCAGAGTACGCAACCCGAAAAGCCATGACAGTTAAGATCGATGTCTACAGTTTCGGGGTCCTTCTTCTTGAAATTGTTAGCGGGAGAAACAATGCCGAGTACAGACCAAACCAAGAAACTGTATTTCTTCTAGATACGGTAACAACAAGAAAACCTTTTTTTTTCTTTAACGAAACTTTCTTAACAAGCATATGATCATGCGAAGCTATACTTGAATGCTTTATCTGAACATTGAGTAAAAGTATGTAGATACTTCACACAAATGCAGGCCGGTAATTTACATTCGAAGCAAAGACTTGCAGAATTAGTTGACCCAAGCTTGCAGCCTTATGATTGGGACCAAGCGAACATTGTCCTGAACTTGGCCATAAAGTGCACTGATCAATCACCTTCTCTTAGACCTACAATGTCTCAAGTTGTGACTGTACTTGAACGTGAAAAAACTCTCGAGGATATTTCTAAAGAGATTGCTTCCTCGACATGATATGATTTGGAGTCTGTCCTGCATGATCGGACAGTGAATATATCTTGCGTGGTTTGTCAGTTTCTCTATATCTATGGATTGTTTTTTCTCATTGGTTTCTTTTCCTTGATGTCACTCTTCTTTTCGATTTGAATCTTGTTCAGTAGAGATTGAAGGAATACAATACGTAAGGTTTTCATTTTAGAACTATAGGCCCTGGGGAGTGGGGACCTGATTGTCTTATGTGATTTGTATATATTGTTTCATGTTATCAACTATTATTACTACTTGATGTATGTTTTCCTTAGATCTGTTTTCATAAAAGATTGGCATATTGTTATATCCGAATTTATTTAAGGTATGTATCTAATAAACTGAATAAAAAGAATGAACAATACCTATCAAGTTTTTTAATGGCGGAGTTTTTCTTATACCCTATTAGTTGGCTGTACTTAAAAACTTATTGGGTGATTTTGGGGAGAAAAGGGCATCCTAACTCATTAAGTCTAATACACACATTAAGCTAGCAAGTTAGCCAATGCGAAATTGTTGGAACTCCTTCCATAAACTTAGAAATAAACAGAATATGGATTCTCAACCAACAACTATATGGTAAAACGTGAGAAAGGTCTGATTTCTAGGGACAAAGTGAGTAGCACTAAGTAATGTACAGGTATTCGGAAAATAACATAATGTCACTAGCAATAAAAGCGCCGTCCAGATAGTTAGAAGGAACATGAGAATTGCAACACAAGAATAATAGAGTAGCTGTTATAGCTCAAGAAAGGAAAAGCACGAATGTATAGCATAAGAAGGAAAAAAAACATGGAGTACTACAACATGCACAGTGAAGAGTGGTCCATCACTAGAGGACATAATGGAGCAGAAGGTGTATAAATATCGACTACAATAGAGGAAAAAAACACATATCAATATAACGTACAAACAAACTCTTGTAAATTATAAACAACTCAATTATGAGCATTTTTTTTTAAGTTTTACACTTGAAACTTGTTAGACAATAGCCAATGGGCAACAATTTATAAGCAATACTTTGTAGGCAGCAATAAGTAGATGGTAATTTATAGGTAGTAATCCACTAGACAATAGCTTACGGGTTGAGAGTTGGTTTCTGATTCTTTGTTCGTACTCACAACAATTATCATTTATAGTTCCTTTAAGATTCGTTATGACTAGAGCATTCATTTATGAATATTCATAGTTTCTTTTTACTGTAAGCATTATAGTCCGAATTTCAAGTTATATATTTAGTTGTTAATATGCAGAATAATCTTTCATATATTTTATTGATATTTATACAATATATAAGGGCCTATGTATGGTAAATAAATCAAACATATAGCTATGTGTATATTCCTAATTTAAGAGAAACTATGTAGTAAATATAAAAAATTACAAGTAGGAAAGAATACAGCTCATTCTCGTTAACTCTTCTCCTAAAGTTGGGGCGTAGATATCTACTACTACATTTTTGACATTATGCAACGGTTTTTTAGCAGTTCAAAACTATTACGATGAAATTTTGTTTTTTCATACTAAACTAAGTAAAACGCCACATAAATCATTGCATATGGTTTAAATATGCAATGGTTTTAATAAATCGCTACAAAAAAAAGTATTTTATACAACGGTTGTGAACCGTTGCATTTAAAAAATTTTAGAACCCCCTAAAAAACTCTTAACCCATTAAACAACTTACTTTTATCTCACTCTCCCGCAAAACACATCGAGACTTTGTTTCGTTTCAAAGTCTCTCTCTCGCTCTTGCTCTCTTTCTCGCATTTTCTCACTCTCCCTAACGGTTTATTTGCATTTCTCTCTCTTAAATTTGAAACACATCCTAAATCTATCGGTTAAATGTTGGTTTAGATTGAAGTTTTAGTAACTATTAATTAGGAAAAATTTCATAGTTTTTAAAGAATCGAGCAAAAGCTCTATCTCCTTTTAGGTTTGCAATTTTCTTTCAATTTCTCTTCCTAGGTCTTCATATTGTATGTGATTTTCTTTTAATTCATCTCTTTGGAACTCGGGTATTGGATTTCTCTCCTTCCTTAGTAACTTTTTTATGTTTTAGGACTTGATTTTCAAGTGTCATTGACTAATTTTATTGAATTTCTTTCTTTCACAAATGAATTCTTTTATATTTTTCTCGATTTTCTCATGTGGGTCTACTTAATTTATGTTGTTTGTTAATAGGGTGTTAAAATTTTAGTTGATTTTTTTTTCCTAATTTTATGGATATAGAAATCTAGCATTTAGATTTAGTTTTTTGAGCAAAAGGATTTGAGGATTGAAGGTCGAATGTCTATAAGTTTTATATTGTCAAACAAAATTATATTGAAAGTTACTAGTACATGAAAATGGAATTATATTTGAATAGTCATGATTCTTTCTATTGGTCATTTGCTATTTGCTATTTGGTAATTGAATTCTTAGTAAATTACTCATTAAAAATTCTCCTAATAATTATTTTCTTTTGGTAAATAAGCCTTAAAGGATAAGCTTTTTATGTAAAGCTAGATTGCTAGATTTGGATAGGTTTAGAAATGCATCATATGCATAACTCCGATTAAAATCAATCCAAGCCATTCCAAATAATATCACCATCAACATCACAAGTCACCCATATCATACGCATATCAAACACATCAAATGGCATCAAATGACCCAAATTACAATTAAATTATACAAATCGAAACATAAACACTAAAAATTCTAACTTAGGTCGAATGTTAGCAATAACCTAACCTAAGTATTTTCTTCTAATTTAACACCAATTTCTCATACAATTTCATTAAATTATACCTCAATATCAAGAGCTAACTCAATTAGGCATTCATTGATGAATTACATGTATAAATCCTAAATTGGGCCTTAATGGGCATAAACTCTAATTTAGGTAATTTAAGCTAATTTTTCAATTTCAATGTAATTTTTTATTCTAACTTATCTCATTACATTATTCTAAGTTTAAATTGATCAATCTGAATCATTATAAGTTAAATGCACTTAAACCCTAATTTACACCCAATTTGAGGTCGAATATGGGCCTAAGTAATTTATGTAAAATTCTTCAATTTTAATATATTTTTTCACACTCAATCATCAATTCACACTAATTAACATATAACCAAGTGGCAAATCATCAAACCAAGCTAAGTATCAAAAATCCTAAAATTCAAGAATTTGGTTGATCTGGATTGTCTTTTCCTAGCCCTATTTTTTTTTTTAATCATAAATTTTAAGCTCAATTGACATGTTTAGACTTTAATTGCATGAATTTCTAACTTAAGAATCATTTCCCCCAATTTTTCCTTATCATGAACCCTAACATCAATTGGCATCAATTAAGGCTAATAAACATAAATTAAAGCATCCAAAACATCAATTAGCATCAATTAAACACTCTTTGTGGTGTAGGTGAGATTAACGTACTTAAACAAGCTCCAATTTATCCTTGAAAGTTTGGATTATTTGAAAAATTCTTCCTCTTTTTTATGCTCCAATTTTCGACCCAAACTCAAAATTTTCCTCTTTGTGATTCTTGATCTTCTAGCTTGAATTCCTTGCTTAATTAGTTGATTTAGGGTGTTTAGAAGTTTTTAGGTGAAAATGTGAGTAGAGCTCTAAGGAAAATTTACAAGAGTTTCCCCTAATTTTGCTAATTTTTTTAACATTTTTCCATAATGCTACAATCTATATTTATAGGCAAATCGAGTGGACTTTTTCCTTTGGTTGAATCCATCACAACCCTTCATTTGGTTTAATCTTGACCCTTAATTTTTTTTTTAATTCTAGCCTTTTAATTGGTTTCATCTTAACCATCCATTTAGTCTTTAAATTTTGTCCCTCTATCTAACCACTCTCTTTAAATATAATCCTTCCTTTTGTGCATGCATTAATTACACCCTAATTATTGAGCTGAAATGGGCAGCAAAAGGGAGAAAAATCTCTGCTAAAAAGTGCTTAATATTTGGTCTTTAAAGTTACTAATCTTCCCTTTAATTACTCCTCCGAAGCCCCTCAATTTTTCAATTGATTACTTTAGGTCCTTCATTTAAAGGTTTCCTAATAAATTTTTAACTCCTAAAGTTCATATATAATTTAATTTAAAAGTTCAAACTTTTAATTTTATGCAATTAGATCCCTAATTTTTATGCAATTAGGTCTCTAATTCTAAAATTTTATTCCATAACTTTTCAAAATCAAATTTTTTTTCATAATAAATTCAAACACCTCCTAAAAGAATTTAATCATCATTCACATAATTTTTATACACTTATTTTGGCCTTCAAATTAATTATTTAGTGTAAAAAAATTCACTATTTCCTATAGAAAATACTCCTTGTACATAGAAAAATCCATCTAAGTTTATAAAATATTCCTACACATCCTAAATGATTTTTCTATGCCCAATGGATAATTTTATTATCTCTTTAAAGCACTTAAAATTAATTAATTTATCTTAAAAATACTATTCATGTACAATAAACTTCATATAAAATAATCACATAGCATAAAAAAATTCACCTAATGGCATAAACTAATCTAGCACCTTTTTTAAAAATATTCTAAGCAAACAAAATATTCTTCATGCACATTTATCATGCTTAAAATAATTAATTTGTATAAAAAATCACTAATTATGCATAAAAAATTAGATTAAATATTTACTCAATATCAAAAAAATTATCATAAATGCACCGAGTATCCTATCAACCTTGACTAGCCCTCTCTCTTTTCTCTTTTCCTTTTTTTCTTTTCTCCTTCCTTTTTTTCTTTCATTTCTTTCTTTCTTTCTTCATTTCTGGACCAAATTTCCAATTTACTACTACTTTATGAGTTTAATTCTTTGATTGGAATTCCCTCCAATGAATCACAAATGATTTTCTAAGTTTACCGGTTCCCTTTATAGTTCTAGTTTCTTAGACAATTTGATGGACTTGAGTCCTTGGACTCAATCGATGGTAGCGACAATGTCACTGCCATCTTTCTTTACTCAAACAAAAATGGATTAGGATTGATTAATTATTGCCAAAGCGGGTGATTCAGGTTACTTGAGGAAAGTCTGAATGATTGGAATGAGTTTGAAAGGCAAAGTGGGATTGCTTTGAGTTTCCTCTGCTTGGAGGCGATGGAGAATGACTGGTGGATTGATTTGGTGAGGATTATGTGATCTGAAGCTTATTGATAATATGATTAAGGACTCACGAATGCTTGAAGGAATGATTTCTAGTGTCTTTCGAAACTCAAAATATCAAAGCAAACCTAAAAAATTCTAGTACTTACAGGTGATGGAAGATGACTGGTAGATTAATTCGATAAGGATCGTGCGATCTGGAGCTTGTTGTTTTGATGATTAAGGACTCACAAACGCTTGAAAAGGGTGATTTTTGTGTTTTTCAAAACCCAGAATACCTAAGCAAACCTAGAAAAGCAATAACAGAAATCCAGATCTTCAAGAGAAACCCAGAAATTCATCCGCAACCCAGAAACTGAAGAACACCAACCCAGAAACCTAGAAAATTCAAATGCCCAGATTTTCTTCTTTACACTCTCTGCTCTGATTTTCTCTTTTTTCTCTCGATCTCTCCTTTCTGACCTCCAAACCAATAGTCCCTCTCTTTCCTTTACTGCCAATCTTTCGATCAAAACTCTCTTCTCTCTGTTATTTTATTTCCTAACGTTCTAATCCTCTTCAATTGTTACAGCGCGACTTGTTGACCGAGTAAAGGAAGAATCAATGAGTTGGCTGAGAGAATCAAAATAGTTAGATCAAAACCATTCCTGGTTTTCCAACGTAGGAGACAGTGAATGAACACTCACTGTCTCAAATGTGATTTGACGCATTAGTTCTCTAACTTCCTAAAAGTTTCAATCGCATCCTCCGATACCTTTCAATTATGCCCTTGATTTGTTCTAATTGTTTTTTCAATTTAACCCCTATTAGCTTCCAATTTCAAGCTGATTTAATAAAATTATGCCCCTTGATTAAATTCATCCTTCAATTTTGTATTTTATATATATATATATATTCTGATTTCATTTTTTCTTTCTTTTTAATAATAAGTAATAAAATAAAATGAACAAATATAAAATGAATATAAATACATAAGAATAAAAATAAACTGAAAATGAAATAAAAATAAGGAAAAAACTAAAATAATAAACAAAAAAAAGATCAACTATAATAATGATAATAACAACAACAATAATAATAATAATAGAAATAAAAAGGATAATATTAAGAAAAAAAATATAACTCAAAATTTGAGTTATGACAATTGCTCACTCTTTACGATGCTTATGACGCAAATTTTAGTTGAAGTGAAAACTTTATATTAGGTTTGTTTAATGAGTTTATAAAGAAACAAAATAAAAGTGAATTCATTAGCAAAAAATGATTTAGTTGATAAGGGTAGTTTGGTTTATGAAAGTATGATGTGACAACTTTGTTGTAAAAGGAGGTCTACTCTAAAAAAAATAAAACATGATGCGATAGACTTGTTATTAAGAGCAGTCTACGATGACTTTGTTGTTAAGGATGATCTCGTTCTTAAAAGTAAAATGCAGTACGATGGCCTTGTTGTTAAGGATGACCCGCTTAAAAAGTAAAATTTAGTGTGACCGTCTTGTTGTTAAGGGCGGTCTATCCCGAAAATTAAAATACAGTTAGATAACCTTGTTGTTAAGGACGACTTGTCCCGAAAATTTAAATTTATTTTTTATTCGATAATAAAAAATATTTTTAAATAAATTTGAGATTAAATCCTTCTTGAAAATGATCTTATTGTTAAGGGAGGTTTGTTATGAAAAGTAAAATGCAGTGTAATGATCTTATTGTTAAGGACAACTCGTCAAAGTAAAATTCAATGCGATAATCTTGTTATCAAGGAAGGTCTATCCTGAAAATTAAAATATTATGAGATGAACTTGTTGTTAAAGACTACTTATCCTAAAAATTAAAATTTATTTTTTTATTCGATAATAAAAAATATTTTTAAATAAATTTATATATAATTGAGATTAAATACCTTCTCTAGACGGGATGATTTTAAGGACGTACCATTCATACTAATTTAATGTATTCACATAAATTTAATAAATTCTTGTATCGCTGACCTTGAGATTAACGTCCTTATGTACGAAAGGAATAACTTATTTACAAAATAGAGAGTGAATATAAATGAAGGAATCGAATTAATGGAAAATTGAGCATGGAGGGACCAAATGAATCATTAAACCAGACGGTAAACAGCAATACAGTACAGTCTCTTTTATTTACCATTTGGTTTGACCACCGTATTATGTCCCTGCTTGGACTTTCAAATTTTCCCCTTATTTAGACACAAACCCCACACCCAAGCAAAACCCAATCTCTCTGCTTTACTCTTTCCCTACTACTTTTAAAGTTTCTGAGTTCTGGGTTTAGTTTACTCTAGCAAATCTTGGTCCTTTTCAACTTTCGAGGGTTCTTAGACAGCTATAGTCAGGTAAAGAAGCAAGAAAGTTGATTTCTTTTATGGGTTTGACCATGCATTTTATGTTAATCACTTTGTGTTTTTGATCCGCTTCAAGTTGTGAGTTTTAGGGGTTTTCTTTGTTTTCTCTCTTTTTTCCTTAAAATTTGAGTCTTGGTGTTGGAAACACACAAAAAACCACCACGAGTTCAAGACATGCATTGTTTTTTTTGTTTTTTTTGGGTCTCGTTTTAGTTTCTGTTTGCAATGTGTTCTTACACAAGTCATGTTCTTATTTGTTTTGTTTAAGGTTTCAGTTTAACTCATGGGTGCTCCGCGCACAAACAAAGCATCTACATTTCTCTGCTCTAAAGATTCTTGTTTTGACTTACTAGGATGCCAATTTGGTCCTGTTTGTAAAAGGAAACTTTTACCCTTCACAATACCTCCATAATCCTCTCTAATACCATGGTTCATGTTTCAAGTTCTTTGTTTTTCTTTTAACTAAAAATCCTTTTTTTTTTTTTCTTTTGAGTTCATGTGTTGTGTGTGTTCAGATGTTGATGCATTTGTTTTTTTTCAGGGGTTGACTTACAAAAGTTTGAGGGGCCATGAAATTGAAATGGGTTACAAAAAGGACTGATTTTGCTTATTTAAACAGCTCCTTTCTGTTATTAATTGTTATTTCTTCTTTAAAAGTTTGTAATTTTTTTTTCTGTGTCCTTTCTCTATTGACATAAGGGTTTCCTTTGTTCACCAATAAGTGAAATAAAGAATTTTCTGTTGTTGTTTAAGATTTTTTTTTTTTTTTTGTCTGTTTAAACAGGAAAGATTTTCTTGAGGTTTGAGTTTCTGGGTTTTTTTTTTCTTACAAAGCGCTATTAAAACCTGGCTTGTGTTTTAAAATTTGTTCTGTACAAAGGACGAAGTGTTTAGGATTTTAAGAGGATAACAGAACAGAAAAAAGGGTTTTCTTTCTATTTTAGTTGTATGGATGAAGGTGTATTAAGTATCAAATTACTGGTACACCCTTATCTTTTTCATGGAACTATTGAGTTTGTACGTATTTAATCTTTTATTCCCTCTCTAAATTTATCAGCTGTGTTCTTTTGTTGGATTATTAGTATTTTCTTAAGCATTTTTTACTTTAATTGTTTTTATTTTGGATTTTATCTCTTTTTTGATATTTTGGATTATGTTTTTCCCTAAAATGACACTCATGCCCTCCACTGAACATGTGGGTGCCTCCTGAGTTAGGAAGTATAGCAGAGTTGACTAGAAACTTGACCAAGTTGACGGGATCCACGAAAGTGAGTAAAATGGAATGGTTGCTCAATTGAGTTGGTCTTGTCAAGTCATTGTGAAACATTACAAGAGAACTTCCTTTTTTTGAGAAAAAAAGTCTTATGAAACAAAATCTCATTGCAAAGGTTATGTGCAGTGCATAACAAGTCTGTTTAATTGTAACATCAACAATAGTTGAATGATGGCAAACCGATGCCTAAATCTTAAGCCTCCAAATACAGAAATGTACTTGTCACAGTGGCTGCTTTCATTCTATCACTCCTCACATTCCAAGCCCAGAGATAACTTAGCAATTTTGGTCATTTCTTTTTAAGGTTTAGTAATTTTGGTTATTTCTTTCTAAGGCTGTTTTGGTTGTAATAAGAGTTGTAGCAGGAATTTTTCTATTCTGGATGCTGCCTTTATATAGAACATGAATTAGTGAACATTTGTTGTGCATAATTTATATATGGATATCATGTCTTATCCTAACAATGCCAATTGAGTTAAGTTGAGTTGCCTGTGAAGCAATTGTTAGGTATCATTCAAGTTTCCAGGTGTAATGGAGTGCAAATAATGGATACAACCTACCACTAAACCTGGTCCTATTAATATATTAAGGCCACTAGCCAGTTATAGTCCCATTACTGAGGTCTTGGGGTGGGGAGTTTGGAGATAGGTTTTACCTTGCAACGATCAGGTGTGAAGTGGCCACTCTCAAGACTTGATTCTGGATCTTTATGGTTGCAAGTCTAAAAGGAAATATTGCATTAGCAATGGACTAAATTTCGGGGAGTCACTCCTTAAGATTTGTTAGGAATCATGCTTACTTAACAAGTGAATTTTTTCCTACTCAGCATCATTCTATGAGCCGGAGGTATGATTCTCTTATTTACTTTGTTTAGTAATTTAATGTTTTGCTGTTTATATTGCTATCCTTGAATGAACATTTTGGTTTCTTTACTTCTGATCATTCAACTAATTTTTTGTTTCAAGAATGTGTTCATAGATTCATAGCTTACCTATGCTTGAATTGATGCCTTAGTATGTTTGTCTCTTTTCATGCCTCAGGCACCAAATGGAATCTACTGAAGAGCCAGAGGCCCTTGCTCCTCCTCCACCTCCACCTGAGATACCGCCAAATGTAGTTCCTGTTCAATTGACAACAGACACTGTTGCCGAGGAAACAAAAAAGATATCGAAACCAAAACGTTCCCCGATTGCCAGGCGTGGAGTTGGGTCTAAAGGCCAAAAAATACAACTGCTCTCAAATCATTTCAAAGTTTCTATCTCTAACACTGGTGGCCACTTCTTTCACTACAGTGTAAGTTCTTTGTGCATGTAATCTGTCTGCTTTGGTTCATGTTCTTTTCTTCCCCATAATTCTGTTCTTTATTGAATTAGGTTTCCTTGTTATATGAGGATGGTCGCCCTTTTGATGCAAAGGGCATTGGGAGAAGATTAATTGATAAAGTTCACGAGACTTATGGCTCAGATCTTGCTGGGAAGGACTTTGCGTATGATGGAGAGAAGAGCTTATTCACAATTGGTGCTCTGCCACAAAACAAAATGGAATTCACTGTTTTGCTTGATAGTTTGTCATCAAACAGGTATGTGGATGCATTTTGCCTCGTCATTATGAACTGTAAATGACAATTGGGATTGTTTTGTGTGCAGGAATTCTGGAAATGGCAGCCCTGTTGGCAATGGAAGTCCTAAGGAGACTGATAGAAAGAGGATGAGGCGGGCATTCCAGTCCAAAACATTTAGAGTGGAAATGACTTTTGCTGCCAAAATCCCTATGCAGGCTATTGCAGCTGCTTTGCGTGGTCAAGAATCAGAAAACTCTCAGGAAGCCGTAAGAGTCTTAGACATCATTTTAAGACAGCATGCAGCTAAACAGTGAGTACAAATCTAGCTACCATTTCCTTTATTAGTTTACCTTGTTTTACTCACTATATGCTTAATTGCCTTGCAGGGGTTGCCTTCTTGTTCGCCAGTCATTCTTTCACAACGATCCAAAGAACTACGTTGACCTGGGAGGAGGTGTCCTTGGATGCCGAGGATTTCATTCGAGCTTTAGAGCCTTGCAGGGTGGATTATCCCTAAATATGGGTCAGTTTTTTTTGAAGCATACTCTCTTTCAAACTGTCTCGTTTGTTACTAATATGTTTTCTTAATGCCAGATGGTTCGACTACAACTATAATACAGGCTGGTCCCCTTATTGACTTTCTCATAGCCAGCCAGAATGTGTCAAACCCTTTTCAGATCGACTGGGCGAAGGTACAAATTCTGTTTACACTGGCAAATTCACTCTACCAAATTAATGTGGCTAACTGCATGTTTCAATGATAGGCTAAGCGAACATTGAAAAATTTGAGGATAAGGGTTTCACCTACCAATCAAGAGTACAGAATCACTGGTTTAAGTGAAAATACTTGCAAGGAGCAAATGTTAGTGTTCCTCATCTCATGTTATTTCCACCCATTTGCTATGTTGATGACATGTAACTACGCCAATGCATTATTAGTTTTTCATGTACCCATGCCTTATTTTCCAAACTGTAGGTTTTCGCTGAAATCAAGAGCAACTGATGGAAACGATGTTGCAAGTCTTGACATTACGGTTTTTGATTATTTTGTAAATCATCGTAGCATAGATTTACGCTACTCTGGAGATTTGCCATGCATCAATGTTGGCAAGCCCAAAAGGCCCACTTACATTCCTGTTGAGGTGACTTGATCTTTTTCCTGTTTTTCATGTCCTATGCTGCCAGCCACCTTTCTTGTTGACCTCTGTCTGTACTGATGTAATTTCTAAATTATATCCAGCTTTGTTCACTGCTTCCTTTGCAACGCTATGTAAAGGCACTAACTGTCCTTCAGAGATCCCAGTTAGTAGAGAAATCAAGACAAAAGCCGCAAGAAAAGATTAGGATCTTAACTGATGTAAGTCTTTGCTCAATGGTTTTCATCGAGGATGATTGTTTCTTCTTATACTGTTCCATATTTATTATCAACTGCCATTTTTTGTCAGGTAATGAAAAGGAACAACTATGCTGCAGAGCCAATGTTGCGTTCTTGTGGCATCTCCATCAGCAGCCAATTTACTCAAGTTCAAGGCCGTGTCCTAACTGCTCCAAAGGTGCCTAGTCTTCAATCCATTGATATACTGTTATCTGTTACAAATTCTTTCTAGTTCTCTTGGATTTTGTCAGCACTTTCCACATTGAAGGCTCTGAATCACTAGAATTGTTCTTATTCTTTTTCTTTTGTAACAGTTAAAGGCAGGAAACGGCGAGGATGTTATTCCAAGAAATGGGCGGTGGAATTTTAATCGTAAGGTGATTTTTGGAATTTAGTCTATGCTTCTATTTGCCTTCATTTTTTTATCACTGGTTATAAAAAAAAAAAGCTACTTCTTGTGCAGAAATTTTTCGAACCTTCTAAAATTGAAAACTGGGCTGTGGTGAACTTCTCTGCTCGTTGTGATGTGCGTGGTCTAGTCAGAGATTTGATAAAATTTGGAGAAATGAAGGGGATTGTAAGTTTTATCAAAATTTTGTGCACTGTTTCTTGTAATGATCGTTTGAATCTAGTTGCTTGTCCTAATTATTATTCCTTTTTCTGCTTTGGTGCAGCTCATAAGTGACCCAGTGGATGTTGTTGACGAGAATGCTCAGTTTCGACGGGCAACACCTCTTGTTCGAGTGGATAAGATGTTTGAACAGATACAGAAGGCATTTCCAAATGCTCCTCCTCACTTTCTTGTGTGTCTTCTACCTGATAGGAAGAACGCTGACATTTATGGTTAGCTGATTTATCGTTATATGTGATCCTTACTGTTGTGTGTATTATTCTTTTGACTGATCAAATTAGTTAATGTTCTGTGCAGTAATTGTTTTTCCTGATAAATTTGTTCATTAAGGTCCTTGGAAAAGAAAGAATCTTGCAGAATTTGGAATTTTTAATCAATGCCTGGCACCCACTAGAGTTAATGAGCAGTATATTTTGAATGTTCTCCTCAAGATAAATGCCAAGGTGAGCTAGCATACCAATATGGATCATTCAAAGTATTCTTCCTTCTTTCTTTTCTGCTTAATAACAGCAAATGTAGATTTTTCTAACTTAACAAAAATTTTTACGTTTCTGGATAGCTTGGTGGTTTGAATTCATTGTTGGCCATGGAGCAATCACGAAACATCCCTATTGTTTCGAAGGTTCCTACAATAATATTCGGAATGGATGTATCACATGGTTCGCCTGGTCAGTCTGACATGCCCTCCATTGCGGCGGTAGGACATAATTCTTTCTTCATTTGTTTCTGACATGAAGGTTGAACTTCTCAAAAAGTTCTCTTTTCATTAGAATCACCCCTTCAGTTTGTTCAACATCTCAAACTATTATGTGATGTTTTTATTTTATTTTTTTATTTTTAATTCCATAGGTTGTCAGCTCTAGAAACTGGCCTTTAGTTTCTCGTTATAGAGCTTCTGTGCGTAGTCAGTCACCCAAAGTTGAGATGATAGATTCCCTTTTTAAACCAACACCAGATAAGAAAGATGATTCTGGGATTGTCAGGTGAGCATTACATGTCAATTATCTTTTTTTAAAAAGTTCTACTAACTACACAGTTGAAGTTCTCTTTTTTCTATAGCCGAATGCCCTTTTGTTTTAATAGAGATTTGAAATCCCTTCAATTTCAGGGAATTGCTGTTGGACTACTATAAGAGTTCTGGCCAAACAAAGCCAGCTCAGATAATCATATTCAGGTGAGTTTCCTTTTCTTTGGACTGATGTTCCTGTCTTTGCACTGTTGGTTATTTATCTTTTGTATGTTACACCTAAATTTTGCTATGTTTGGCTTATTGGATCTTGGAAGCAAGAGGGCCTTGCTACAGTAAAATTAAGAGGGAAAAGAGATCCATTATTTGTATTGAATGTGCTGAATATTAGATATGAAGTCCAAGGCATTTGAAATGTTTTGGCATTCTTGGAATTTTCTTTTTTTCCTGTTCTTCCAACCTTGAAAGGAAGTTACAATGTTGCACTAAATTTTATGCTTTAGTTATAAGCTTGTCTCTCAAACTTTTCCATCATTAAAAGGCTAGTCATTTTTGCTTTTTTTTTTTCCTTTTTTGTTCCAATGTTGAAAAAAGGGATGGAGTTAGCGAGTCACAGTTCAATCAAGTTCTCAACATCGAGCTGGATCAAATCATTGAGGTCTCTTGCTACTAAAATACTATCCAATGATAAAAGGTTTATTTTAACTAGTCCACAAATACATCTTCTTCTAAATAACCTTCCTCTTTGTGTTCACCAGGCCTGCAAGTTCCTTGATGAAAGTTGGTCACCTAAGTTCACTGTTATTGTTGCACAGAAAAATCACCACACTAAATTTTTCCAAGATGGATCTCCAGACAATGTTCCTCCTGGTTGGCACTTTGCAGACTCTAATTCAAAATGCAAGTTCGATTAATTTTGGTGATATTTATACATCTTTTTTCCTATATGCAGGAACCGTTGTTGATAATGCTGTTTGTCACCCACAAAGCTATGATTTCTACATGTGTGCACATGCAGGGATGATAGTGAGTTTTAATCATTGAACTGCCTTTATTTGCTGTTTATACTTGCTGTCGCTTGTAGTGGACATCATTTCTTAATTGAGGTTGGAAGTTGCATGCATAATGGACAAAACATAAATGGGCAATGCTGTTTGCTTGAGTAAGAGGGGGAGAGAGAGCATTAGTGTTAGTTTAATGATCTAATCTTCTCACTATTTGATATTTTAGGGAACAACAAGGCCGACACATTATCATGTTCTTTTAGATGAAATTGGCTTTTCAGCTGATGATCTACAGGAGTTGATTCACTCTTTGTCTTATGTGTAAGTTCCTCTTGGTTTGCTTTGTTATTTAAAAAGGTATTTTGAAGTCTATTTTTGGTAATCTGTTGAGAACTTTGCAGGTACCAAAGAAGCACAACAGCAATATCTCTAGGTAATGAACAGATCCCTATATTGTTATGCTTATGCATCCTTACTTTGAGATAAGAAATTGAAAGTGTCTTCTTGCTCAAAGCTAGTCATTTTTATTTATTTTTGCTGCTAGTTTTTTGATTCACACATTCCTTTTTCTATTTTGAATTCAATGAGGGAATGGTTTCTAGCCTTTTATCGATTTCATGTTCTGCGCCAATTTTTGTCTAACTATTTTTATTGCCATGATCCTCCTGCAGTTGCACCAGTACGTTATGCTCACTTAGCAGCAACTCAGATTTCACAATTCTTGAAGTGTGATGGCATGTCCGAGACATCTTCGAGCCATGGAAGTCTGACTTCTGCTGGGCAAACCCCTGTGCCTGAGCTTCCTGAGCTACAACCGAATGTCCGCAGCTCTATGTTTTTCTGCTGAAGTTTATGAACTCTGAACTGTAGTAAGGCAAAACTGGATGATCTTTTGCATCATGGGCTTTAGTTTTTTATGTATATATGAACTCTGTGAACTGTAGTAGGGCAAAACTGGATGATCTTTTGCATCATAGGCTCTAGTTTTTTATGTATATATGAACTCTGTGAACTGTAGTAGGGCAAAACTGGATGATCATTTTATCATGGGCTCTAGTTTTTTTATGTATATACTGGCCTAGTTATGATGATAGTAAGGCAAAACTGAATGAACTTCGGTATCATGGGCTCTAGGTTTTTTTTTTTTTTTTTTAATTAATAATAATAATTATTATTTTATGCATATATGCAGTAGGGTTAGTTATGATGATAGGGAAACCTAATGATACTAAGGAGGTGTTTGATAACCTAATTAAGTAGCTTAAAAAATCAAGTTGTATTACTTAATATAAAATTCTTGTTTGCTAACTTAAATGATCTCATATTAAAACTTTAAGTTTATTTAAAATTTATTTAATCGGATAAGTTAAAATTTTCAACTTATTTGATTAAGTCAAACTATCTAAAACATACTCTCTCTTTATATATATATATCAGAATTTATAAATTATAAAAATATATTTTGAAAAATAAAATACTCATTTGAAAAGCATAAAAATAATTTATTATATAAATTATAATAATATATTTTTAAAAAATAAAACATCGACGTTATAAAATTTTATTCCAAAATTCATATATTAAAAAATTAAATTTATTAACAAATAAAATTATATCAAAAATTAATTTGATGAGAATTTTAGTAAGAAAAAAATAATTGAAAAAAATAAATTTTAAACAATAAGAATAATATAATCGGATACATATGTTCAAACTAAAATCTTAAAAAATGTCATATATATTCTATCGTCTTCAAACGGGTTTATTATATTTAGTACTTAATTTTCGGTAAATACCAAACAGTTTGTTAGGAATATATTTAATACTTAACATATTTAGCACTTAAAATTCAATATTTAACGGATTCGGTATTTAATTTTCGGTAAATAGGCTTACTATGCGAGTAGGGTTAGTTATGATGATAGGGAAACCTAATGATACTAAGCACGCATTAAATACTTGAATGTAAAATGCATAAAGATAAATTGAACAAAATAAATGACTTGAAATTAAAATAGTAAATATGATTGAAGGAGATGAACTTCGGAAGGTTTGAATTCCTAGTTGAGTTGTATTTTTGGCTAAGGAAAAAGAATTAAGAAGGTTTTGGAGTGAAAAAGATATTAGATTTAAAGATTTTGAGCGAAGTGTGGTTATGTTTTAGGTAAGATAATAATAAACCATTTTTTTCGAGAAAAGATAGTGGATTTGATTTAATTTTTAAAATTCTGTTTGCAAGATTAATTTTGAAATCTATTTCCAAAATTGTTAATCATCTAAGCCAAATTATTATTATTATTGTTATTGTTTTTTTTTTTTGGAATCATATTAAATTGATATTAAATTTTAAACTTAAGAGTATTGTCAATTTAACATTATATTTAATTATGTCCCGACACGGTTAACCTATTAAAGATGAAGGTATTGAATGCAAGAAAAGTTTTCCAAAATTGATTTTTTAATTGTTTATTGAAGAATTGTATTAAATTGATGTTGAGTTTCAAAAATTGAGATTTTTTAATCTAGTTACGTCATGATACGATTGGTATATCGAGAAATGACTTAATTAACTAATTGTGTTAAGCTGATTAATATATATTTTAGATAATTTTCTTTTATTATCATTATCATTATTATTATTTTTACTTTGGGTAAGAGGTTAAGACCAATGTTAGTCCTTAAAATTTTAAGAGACTTGTTTGCGCGACTTGATTCTCCTAATTAAACTAAAAGCGAGATATTCTTTTTGTAATTACAAATCAAACTTGATATGAGATTGTCATCGGCTTCTAAAACCTAAGAGACTTGACGATCTCACTTCTAGTAAGATAAACCTTAATTCAATAATTAATATGAAAATTAATCGTAAGCATGATAAACGAAAATGCCGAAATAAAAAATAAAAAAGATCTAAATTCAACGAAAATTTTAACTCACTTATATACATACCCTAAAAATTCTAGGCCAAAATTAAATCGAAAAAAGGCCCAAATAATTTAATTTTTGAAATAGCCTCATACCGATAAGTAAATCGGTAGTAAAATAAAAAAAATACAATAAATATCAAATGAACATAAAAAATTACAAAATTTAAAACATAAGCTAAGAACAAGTATATGTACAACCCAAAAATTTTTTACACCAGAATGATAAAGTGCAACCCTATCAAATAAATAAATCCAAAACTAATCCCTAGAATTAAAATTCGGCTAATTTAACCCCACATATTTTAAAGTTAAGGACACAGTTGCAACATTTATTGTTGGACACTAAATTGAAAAACCCTAATAAAACTAAGGAATAAAGCTCTAAACTAATCCAAATTCACTCTAGCATGAGCCATTTTATTTCTTTCTTTTCTTAGATTTGATTTCCTAATAAAAAAATTAATTCATTTACCATGATCTTTTTCCTTTTCTGCTACTTACATTTATTTCCTTCCCCTTTCTTCTTCGTCCTTTTTTTTTTTTTTTTTTTTTAACTGTCGTTTCCCACAATCTTCGGTTTATTTTTTTTTCTTTTCCTTTTTTATTCCCTCATTGCTACTATCTCATTCTCTTTTATTTTCAAAGCCTGCAAGATGCTAAACCTACCATTTTTACAGATCCATCCTTTTCTTATCTCTATTGTACATCATGCTCATGTTTATCAAAAAAAAAAAAAAAAAAACCAACTGATATCAACTAAAAAAAGGCTGTAAATTAAAGCTAAAACAGTAGCTATATACGTATATTGCAAGAAAGGGTATTAGAGAAATGGAAGCGGACCTATATGGAAAGAAAGACGGACTTTAATGGAGACATCAAGACAAAGTTCTTAAGGGTGAAGCTGGTTAAGCAAAATAAAACCTCAGAGCCTATTATATTTTTTCTTGCCTTTCTGAAACCTGATTGTAGATTTTCAGAAAAGCACACAAGATTTGCTTTAGAAGACTGGGGTTTTTTTCGTTTTTTTTTTCCCTTGATCGTGTTGAATTTATACAGGAGGAATTAGCGACCAATCCCCATAAATCTTCCACAAAATTTGATGCTTGTAAAAAAAAAAAAAAAAAAAACTAATCCAAGCAAAATTTCTACAAAATCTGATATGATAAAACAAAAAGTACTCAAATTCAAATTAGAAAATTCAAAGTCTTGAATTAAAATCCTCCATCTTTTTTGTATTTTTTTTATTTTTACATTTTATGATAAAATGATGAATGAGAAATTAAACCAAAATTAAAAACTAAGTAAAACAAACCTAATAGTATCAATAAAAAGAAAAAATTCATGAAAAACCTATGCTGTGAAATAAAATAAAAGAAACTTATAAAATATCTAAAACAAGGGAGTCAAAAATAGGTTATAACGAGTTGTTCCTCTTTACAATGTTTATCTTGCAAATTCAAATGAAAAAAAGTGATTTTCATAAGAAGCTTGTAAATTAAAACTTAGAAAAAAATATCGATCATGTTCTCACGGGCGTCCTGTCCCTTTTGGTCTTATTCTCACGGATGACTCGTCGTTTTGGTCTTATTTTCACTCGGTGACTCGCCTTGCTAGTCAAGTTCTCACAAAGGATCTACCTTGCTAGTCTTGTTCTCGAGGGCTACTCGCCCTTTTAGTCATGTTCTCACGGACGATCCGCTCACTAATAGTTGCCATATCACTAGGCAACACTGCTTAAAACGATAAAATAAATTAGATAATCCTATATAAAATGAAAGAAATACCACTAGATAATTCTATCTAAAACGTTAAACTAAATTAGGCCTTCCCGCCTAAAATAAAAGAAGTATTGTGAGGCAATCATGTCTAAAATGATGAAATATTGCTAGGTAACTCTGTCTAAAATAAAAGAAGTACGAATAGACAATCCCATCTAAAATGATGAAATATCACTAGGCAATTCGTCTAAAATGAAAGAAATTATCGCTAAGCAACTCTACTAAAAACGATGAATTAAATTAGACAACCCCACCTAAAATGAAAGAAATTATTGTCGGAAACCTTGCCTAAAATGAGTAACTAAATTAGGCAACATTGCCTAAAATAAAAGAAATACTTCTAGATAATCTTATCTAAAATAATGAACTAAATTAGGCAATTTTGCTTAAAATAAAAGAAGTACCATTAGACAATTCTATAAAAAAACAATGAAATATCTCTAGGTTGCTAGTGTGATTGTCCAAGATCCAACCTTATTTAGATGGTTTGATTCTTTATAATGTTGCATTTTTATATTAATAAAACAAATCTTTCTATTAATTCTTATCGTTTATATTTTGATAGAATTAGATAAAAGTCCATATGATATGCAGTGCAGTAATGATTGATCTATTGATGTGAGACGAACATTGATGCATTTAAATGATATCATTAAATGTCTCAAGTCGTAGCATTATCAAGAATGGACATTAACTATATACTCATGCTATAAGATAGCAGTAGGAGATTTCACACCTATTGGCATGGTGATGTCAAAGCAAACAATTAGGTGATTAATGTTAGAAAACATATCACCGAACGTGACTCGCCATGAGAAACCATTTGATTTAGTCTATGAGAATCTCATATGGTATGGGTATAACTTGTCCTTTAACTTGAAGTCGTTATAGTTATCTCATTAGAGGATTTATATATTTTAACACTCATTTCGATGGCTTTAATCAAGAGCTACATGTGGGCGATTCGTTTGGTACACTAGGAATCTAATGGAGATAGGTAAATGAGTAAGATAGGACATGTCATTCCTTATATGCTAAAAGAGTTATCACATTGCAATTCGATGAATATCTACTCAAGGAATCTGTGGCCACGGTGGGAGTATACCAATGAACATAGTTGGTTTACTTTAAAGCTAAGATATTTGGGAATCGAAGAAAATTTATGTGATCATAATCGAACGGACTTTGAACCAAGTTTGAGATCACACTCGTGATAAATTAACATAAGGATCTGAATTATTTAGTAACTATGCTTGTAAAAGATAATTACGGATTAATT